GGAACACTGCAGCCTGATCACTCCTACTCCATTTTTTTAAAAAGACAGCTGAGCTGTCAAGCTTATAACTGATTCTTAGCATCATTTTGTTGGATCCAGAAGAGTGGTTTGCTAGAGAAACCTTTCCCTGATTAGCAGTGCTCTGTAAGCACTCCAGGGCCCAGGTTCTCACTGGTATTAGCTCCATTTACACCCGCTGAGAACCTGGTCCAGATGCATAAGAATCCCATGAAGTCACATGTGCGGAGTCCTAGCAGGATTGGGCCCAGGACTGGCACACTAAGAGGGGGAAAAAGTTGTGTCCCTTTGTTTAAGGTAATTACATTTCGAAACCACTTCCTGCCAAAGTTACAAAATAACAGGAACATGGAGCACTCACTGCCACTTCTGCTTCCCTTTTGTGCTTCCCTTCATTTCTGTGCTTAGTGGAAAGTTGGGCCAATTTTATGGAGCTTTTGCTCTGTTCCACGCCTAGTAGGGGGAGGGAATAAATTCCCTGGAGTCTGAAGCATTACGGTTTTCATAGCCTGGATTTCTAGTGAAACTTTCAGTATGTTGTAATGTTCTGTGTTTGAAAACTAACGGGCTGAGCTAAGACAGCATTTTTGAGCCCCAGTGGAGTAAATAGCTCTAGGATACCATGGCAATGGATGCATTATAAGTACCTATAGGAGACAAATATAGAGCACAGTCCCATGACCATAACAATCAACACGGGCCAACATCTTACTTTAGAGCAGGGGTTCTCAAACTTGGGGTCGTGACCCCTCCGGAGGTCACGAGATTATTACGTGGGGGTCGCGAGCTGTCAGCCTCCACCCCAACCCCTGCTTTGCCTTCAGCATTTATAATAGTGTTAAATATAAAAAAATGTTTTAAGTTATAAGGGGGGGGGTCGCACTCAGAGGCTGGCTGTTTGAAAGGGGTCACCAGTACCAAAGTTTGAGAACCACTGCTTTAGAGCTAAGCACTATAACATTTCACCAGTTATCTTTCTTGAACTTGCATTACAAGTCCTGTCGGTTAACAAGCTCAAGTGGCACTTGATGTGTCTATCAACAGTCCAACCCTGTGGACAAGCAAATGAGGAACTATAAACACCCACTCCAAAGTCACTTTGCTGAGATCAGTGGAAGGACCGTGGAAAATCCAGCCTTTCACATAACACTGACATGGGCAGAGAAAATAAAGGCTCCAACGTGTGTTGGAATCTCCAAAGTTTTATTTGGCTTTTTAAATTTGTTCACCAAAAACAAGTTTGGCAAACGTTTAGCAGAAATTAATACAAGAGAAAGTTACCAGTTGCACTGGCAAACTGCATTTTTAAGAGTAAAAATCTGCCTTCTGATGCATGGAAGGATTCCTCTTGGCTCCATGGAAACTACATAGATGTAGCTGAAGATAAATTTGGGCTCAAATTGCCTGATGAGTATTTGATCAGAAAATTGACCAAGGTTTAGTGTGTTGTATTTTTTATGAACAAAATAAATAAATAATGCGAGTGACATGCAACTGCAACCCCCGGTAGCCTCAGTTGTCAGGCAGATTTGAAACAAGGACTATCATCATCAAAGCACATCTAATAGCTAGCACTAGCAGTAGCTGTTTGCCTCTCTGTGGACTAGGCACTAGAGCAGTGATACAAAACACCCTTTACAAGCATGTTACACAATGCAGCAGTCAAAAGGCACCAAATTAGCAGCAGGTCTGACATTGTCATACTAATGATTGTCCAAGTTAGTCAAACCCCACTGCGCTGTTGTTGTTTGTTTGAAACATCTGTTACTTCCTAACAGCAGAAACAGGGCTCCAGAAAAGACAGGCTATGGGTCTGATCCTGATTGGTATTTTCTAGGATAGAGAGGTTATAAATATGCTCTGAAATGGCCTGATTTCCAGAAGTGCTGAGCACACCACAGCTCCTAGCTGCAATGGGAGTGGCCAGTGCTCATCACTTTAATATATCAGGACATGGGCATCTATGTCCTGCTCCCCTTTGTGAAATGACCGTGCACATCTTTATAAGGAGCTTGCCAGGTACTGGGGATGCTATTCAGACAGAAGTTTGCCAAAGACTTGTTGAAACACATCCTCTACTAAAAAATCCCATGTGGATTAGGCACTGGTTTGAGACTCAGAAGACGGGAGTTCAATTTCCAGCTCTGCCACGGGCTGGCTGGGTGACTTTGCGCAAGTCACTGCCATGCTCTGTGCCTCAGTTTCCCCTTCCATAAACTGGGGATAATGATACTGAGCACCTTTGTAAAGTGCTTTGAGATCAATTGATGAAAAATGCTATGCAAGACTTAGGTATTATTATAACTATGAGCCATACACATTGTAACATACAACGTTCAATAAGATACTGTGGATACAATAGTCTTCAGACAATACTTTCCTTTCCTTCCATCTTCCCCCCCCCCCCCCGGTTAATTTCTACTCTTGTTCCTGCTAAGATCTTCCTATGCATTGCTTCCCAATCTCTCTTCCTAGACCCGGACAATAATCCATCCATGTATCTCAAATCCTTTTGATCTAAAACAAATAAATGAAAATAATCACCATTATTTAGTTCAGTAGAAATGAATTAGCTGGAAATATAAAAAGATTAGAGCATGATTAACAACGTTGTTTAAGAACCATGATCCAAACCACACATGAGATACAATTTAATATTTACTGCACAAATATCAATTTAGTTATTCCACATATCTGGTATCCAGTCTAAAGTTTAGCTCCAATTCTCTGACCACCTAAACCAGGTATGCAAAGCAGAAAGACACAGATACCCTTTCCAAGTCAAATTAATTCATCGGCAGTCAAATTCTGCAGAGAAAAAGAAATCATCACGTGATAAATCAAGCCTGGATGTTGTAGGATAGGAGCAATGGAGAAGCTGGGAAATCTAATCCCAGAAAGTAAATTCAATTTGTTTTTTCTCCAAGTTGCTCTTATGTAAGGGATTTTCAAACCGGTTTGTGTTTGGGTGCACTCTAAAGACCCTCTCCTCCCCACAAGGAAAGCGGTCAGTTTTACTAGCAATAAGTGTATAAACTCAAAGGGCCCTTGAGTATACCCATCAGAAATCCCCAGCCGTGTCTATACTGGAATATTGCATTATATTATTAGAATGTGCGTTAACTAACGTGATGTTAAATATGACTTAGCATCCAGTGTAGACATGAAAATGTAACTTTTGGTCTTGATTAACTCTAGAGACTCCCTTTGGGTTAACCATGACCAACTAGCACATTTCTGACTGTGTGTGTCTACACTATGCACTAAATCATGTTTAATATGTTAGTTAACATGTTTTCTAACAATGCATTTTCCCAGTGTAGATAAAGCCACAGTGATGTCACTTCCCCATTCATTTGGAACAGTGGATGAAATCTGGCTCTCAGTAAACCAGTGAGGTGCACAACTGCATGTGGATCATATTAGGCATTTACTGTGTGTGCATGGCAATAGACAAGTTCTTGAGTAAAAGGGTTACCTGTATCTTAACACTAAAATGTGTCAAAATTATCATCTTTGTCTCTGAGTCTCCACTATTTAATTTACAGCAATGGACATTTCTTAAAGTGACCAGAAATTCTTTTGTTTTTATTCAGAATTTTTTTCTATTAACATTTTGCTGTACACTTCACTAGCGATCATTAAAGTAGCAAGGCTGTCACAGAGGTCAAAGATTATGTGGTTTCCTGTTCATTTTTCCCCCCTAAAGAGTCCGCTCTGCCAGCATGCCAGTGAGAGCTGTACATCAGCATCTGAGGGAAGAATTCGGCCTTATGTTTGTTTGTGACTGGAAGATGTTTGGATGCACTTTGAGAACCTCTGATGAAATGCTCTAATGAAGTACTAAGCACTATTATTGTTCTTAATAAAATTATGAGCCTGGTTTTCCTATACATTTAATTTAAAAATATTAATCACTCCCAAAACCATCAAAAGAAGGAAGCAGAAAAGTAGATACTGAAAAGATTTGTCTGCGTGGTGGAGATTCTAATCCCATACTCTTGGCGTGAAATCTTGGTCATATCAAAATCAACAGGCATTCAATGGACTAAGATGAGACTTGCTATCTTCTTAGATTCTTTTGCTTTTTATTAAGCAAAGGAGTGACAAGAGCTTTGAGCTTCTTTGTTTTCAGAATTTGCATGCCTGAAATATGTAGGAGATAGGAAATTTGAACTTTGAGGCTAAATATTTTAAATATAAACCTAAGCATGCACACTTCATCCTCTATGGCCCAACCCTGTTCCCATTAGCGGTAATGGGGGCCCTTCTATCAGTGCGATTCCCTGATCTGTAGGCACTGGCAGCAATCACAATGTGCCACTGAAATCCACAAAAAAAGACCCCCAGAAAGTTATTTTCTGAACTAGTAAAACTTTAATTAACAGGAGTTTCTCTTGGCACAGTTTTTGCTATTAAATAAATAAAGCATTTAGTCAAAACCATCTATATTTACTATACAAAATACTGAAAAGCAAACATTTTTAAAAGATACAGAAACTTAGGGTTCTGTGAAAAAAAACTGTGCTACATGAGCAGTTATTCACACTTAATGCACGTAACACAAATGCAACACAGTATTTAGCTACTGTATGTTCGTACGTGGCTGGTGCAAATTTTTTAGTGTGGGGATGCCATGTTATTAAAATTCATTTGTACTTCACAGAATATAAGCAAGGTAGAATTTGTCTTTTGGATATCAAAAAATAAATCAAGTTAAAAGTTGTGGCTTATGGTCAATTGTGATTCGCTGTTTTAAGAGTCCACTTTCATTGGTATTAACTTTGGACATGTTTAGATTAGATGGGAGTTTGTTACTACTACTGCTGTTATCTTTTCTGGCAGAATATCTTTGGGTTTTAGAGCAATTCTTGCCCATTCTACATTCCTCCCTCTCCCAAGCCCCTGCCCCCCAGATGAAACATACTAAATATATTCTAGATTTCAAATATTTTGGCCAGCAATGATCTGTGTATTTTAAAAAAAAATCAACCATTTCCTTTTGTTAACATTGCAGAATGGTGGCAAATACTCTGCTGAAAAGAGAACAGCATCTCTTACATCTCAGGAACAGATAGCATGGCATCCCTTTTCAGATGGAATGTACACTTGTGTGTTTGCATGCGATATAACATAAGTCACTTGAATACATCAGACTTCGTTAACACTATAATATAAATAAGCTTATTCCTTCTACTAGACATGTAAATGCCTTTTTTTGCAGTCCATAATTATATATACACATTGAAAAAGAATGATACACAAGCAGCAAAACAGGCTTAGACTAGAACAACTCAGTGGTAACTAACCAAATTTGTGGCCTTTTCATATTTTCAATACAGAAAATTCTGCATATAAATATTTTTGGACTTAGGAATTTTAAAATAAACAGAACAGTATAGTTGTCACACAGATCAAACACACTTTAAAACATTTTGCTAGATTTAACAGAACACAATGTCGACGTCTAAAAAAGAAATTAAAATAAACCAGATTTTTCAAAGGGACAATAAGTCTAAACAACTGCTGATTTTGGGAGACATGAGATGGAACTAATTACCCACAATTCCACAAGAAGGCAAGGCTTTCAACACTGTTTTCTTTAAATGTTGATGTCTCTGTGTCCTTCCCTAGGACACTATCCTTCGAACAGTTTTAATGCTCAGCAGCAGGGAAATCTCCCATCTTGAACTGATCAAGACTGTAGTTGCAACAAAACAGGCCCTATTCATAAAGGGCCCTTAGAAATGTGGGATAGTAACATTTCACACTATACATTGTAGACAAAACACACAAATAATTAAAAGAAACTAAAACCAAAAGCAAATATGTTTGATAGAACAGTTACATTTTTATGTGATCAGAACTCTACTTTTTAGTTCCAAAAGCAATAGAGCAGTTGCTATTTAGTCACTTTTGCCTGCACTGTACAAATGTACTACAAATCTGAGCCTCATAGGAAGCAAAACTCAGATTTACTGACTTTTTTGTCACACTTTTTCCCATTTGCATTTGACCTTTAAATTTCTCAGCAGCCAATAATAGTCTCATAGGTCTTGCCTCATTTTACTTTGTGGAATGGAAGCCCTTTGATATGAAAAGAGTGGTAGAGGCCAGAATGACTGTGAGCAGCGTTCTTTACATGTTGAATTGTCTTTAAAAAAGGAGCAGAGCAAAGCTGTAGGTGCTGGGGAAACACAAATCGCAGGCACCCAAGAAAATGCCATGGGGTATGTGTTTTATAACATCCCTAAAAAGTCACTGTTGTAAGAAAAAAATAATGTTAATATTCAAACCACAGATTTCTAAAACACAAGAAAATGTACCTGAGAGTGTGTGTGTGTATATATATATATATATTTATCTATTTATATTTTTATATATATTTGCCAACATTTAAAGTGAGAAAGTATATTTTCCTCCAATTCTTTCTCAAAACAAAGAATTGTGGATTCAAAACAAAACAAAACAATGAATGTTAGTTATGGCCCAAGCATTAAGGTTTAGTGATGGTTAACATCGACCTCTTTTCTTTCCTCTCAGATGGTTTCCCAATGCAGAATGGAGAGTAAATAAAAGAAAAAAGGAAGTATATTTAAATATTACTCAATATCTAACAGACTGGACTTGAGTCAGTAAAGAACCTTGAAGGGAAAAAGAAAGTATCAGTTGTAAAATGTAGCTCTGTTGACAAATATAGCTAATATTTCCTTGTAATTATTAAGATAGCTTGAAAAGATGTGAAAGTACAACACAAACAGGCTACATGAATGCAGTATATTAAAATCCCCTTGTAGCACATTACAATCAATAAAAAGAAAAGAAAATTTGAATAATACTAGAGGTAGCAGCTGTTTGTATTTTCTGTTATTCTGAGTATTTCTGGAGTCCAAACCTTCGAACATTGCTCCCCTGATAAAAGGCTTGTGTGCAATAAGCCGACATATGGCAGACTGGTAAGCTAGATGTCTGCAGTGTTGTTTGAAGTATCTTTTTCTAATACAATGAAGGAAGTACTTGTAAAGGAAGTGCGTTGATGACCTGCATTAAATCACAGCTCTGAAAGCTATGGCTGTTTGTTGTTTTACAAGCCACTTAAAAACCAATATCAACAAGTTGTTAAGTAAGCTATGCAGTTTCACAACATATAAATAGTGTCAGTTTCAATGGTTTCATATAATTTCTAAAATATACGCTAGCAGAATATTAATGGAGTAACAATAATATTAATCATAATAATGCCTTAGTCTGAAGTCACAGGAAGGCGTTTCCTTCATATGGGGGGATTCCTGGAGGATATTGGTGGGATCGGTTTTATGTCTGGTAGAAGTGATGATAGTGGTGGTGATGCTCATGGTGGTGATGGTGTTCATGTCTCTGGATCATTTGTCCAACTTGGCCTTCATATAAAATGACTGTGGGAAGGTCTCTCACCTGCTCTTTTTCCACAACTGTCCCCGGAGAATGGAAGGTTTTGCACATTTGATGATTCTCCTTTGCCCTCTGCTTATGTTTCTTGTGAGCCTGCTGGGACTGCATGGGGAGGTAAGGAAGATTCTGGCCCACCCGTGCAGTTGGGGAAGCCATCGGCATGGATGCACCTTGAAGAGGTTTATTCCTTACTGCCCTTCCAGGGTGAACAGAGGCTACATTTTTGCTCTGGACCTTGGGAGACCTAACAAAGTGCTTGTTTGAGTCCTGATTGCGCAGCCTTTGTTGTATTTCTGCAATCTTGGCGTATGAGGCATCAGCCAAATTGATGTGGCTGGGGTCCACTACTTGAGATTTCCTGTGGTGGGCATGGAAGATTTCAGGTTCATGAGAGCGGGATCTAGTCTGATTCACAACTCTATTTGGTGGGTCATATTTCTGAGCTGCTGGAGGAGATCCTAGAAAGGAACAAACAGAGTTAGTTATCTAATATTTCAAATTTTAATTAGCAGCATGCACTTGGCAGGGTTAAGTTTATTAGCAGAGTAGAATTTTCCTCGGGAAGTGAATGTAATTATACCCGTAGCTGTTTAGAAAAAGTTTTAAAAGTCCTTGTGACAGAGTGCTAGGCAAGAAGGGTTGAGCCAGCACTCTTGTCACGGCAGCTCCAATCAAACAATGCAGAATGGAGCTGGTTAAACAGAGCTGTGCCTAATTTGTGGGGGGGAGCAGAACTGGCAAGCTAATTAAGCCATTAGGCAGAGGCTACAAATAGGCACAGGAAGGAAGTAGAAGGGGGAAAAGCAGGCAACAGGGGGAGGAGAGAGAGATTACCCTTTGCTGCTTGTTACAGGAGCTGGGGACTCCCTAGGACACTTGGAGCAGAGCTGTATATAGTGTGAAGGTGGTGTAAATAAACTACACAAGATGTTTGACCAGCACACGGGTCTCTAAGCAATTTGTGAACCAAAGCGGAGGCAGGAGCCAGAGGACCCTGTCACAGTCCTATTATTAAATACTATCAAATGAATATTTTTTTTTAAAAGAAGGCCTTACTGTCAGGCCCTGTGGGTGTTGAGACTCCAATCCTCCACCTGGCAATCTCACAGACAGCAGCTGGGACCACAGATCCAGGAACCTGAACTAAGCACAAGCCCCATCCCTATGCTCTGATTGGGTGACTGCCATGGTTCCTGATTGGCTTAAATAAGGGCTGAAGCCCAGAGGAGAGAACAGGACGATGGCTGTACAACTGGGCTTCACGCTGCCATGGACTGCTGCTCTCGTCTTTACCTGTTCTGGCCTTCTGATCCTGACCTCCTTGTGTCCTGACTCATGTAGGGTGGTCACTGACATGTTCCCAGAATTCCAAACATTCCAGTACTTCTGGGAATGGCATGGGCCTGCCTCCGCTTGTGTGACCCCACCTCTGCCGGGTGACCTAGCATGTGAGGTCATGCCACATGGGGGGGCATCATCTCTAAGTGCATGCCACTCTGCCCCCGTTGGCGTGACCTCGCACACATGGTGTGTTCAAGGTCACATTGTAGGGGGCAGAGAGGCATGCTCTTAAAAATGGCACCCCTTGACCAATACCGGACAAAACCAGACAGGGGACACCCCAAAAGAAGACTGTCCAGTTCAAAACTGGACAAGTGGCCTCCCTACATTCTTGACAACTGACTCTTGATCCCCGTCCTCTGATCTGTCTCTTGATTCTGATCTCCTATTGTTCCAACTTGGCCTGATTCTTGGTAATTGGCTCCTTGGCCCTGGACTCTTGGCTTGCACCCAGTGCCACCCCTTAGGACACGCTACCCATGCCCCAGCCCTGACACTTACTCTATTTTGACAAACTCTCCTTCTTGGACATCAGTCTAGATTATATCAAAGTGATGTCATCTGATACAGTAAAATACAGAGGCAGGGCAAAACTGCAGTCCAAACCCCTTTGAATCTGGGGGTTTTGGTTCTGGATTGGATGCCAAAATCTGAAAGCAACTATTTTCTGGTTCCAGTTCAGATGTGGCCTGCATCATCGAAGCCTAGCCCTGATTTTGCCCCAGTCCTAATAAACTGGATCTGAACACTGCTCTCCAAGCCCATCTCCAGTAAATAGCTATGGATCAATCACACAACATGCTCATTTCTAAATTCAGTGGGCCCAATTCAGCCCGTGTAGCTGAAGACAGAACTGGGACAAAAGTCTGAAAAATCAATTCCTATATTACCTGGCCCAAATTTCGATGTATAGTTTTCTATTCCTGCAAGATCCAAATAGTGGTTTCTCCTTTCAATGTTCTCATCCACGCAATGGCGATAGCACCCGCTTTGCTCAGGAGTGTTGTCACTGGGGTGATATCTGTGAGCAGGAAGCAAAATGAAAATTCAGCAAAACTTCTTCAAATTGTTACTGCCACCTCGAATCCAAAAGTTCATGGACACTTTGAAATGATAGGAGTTACTTGCAACGAACGTCTGACGTTCTGGATTTCCCATGGGCTAACTATACAGCCCTGCATCGACTCTCCTTTCCCTCCTATACATTGAGTCCATGATGTTGCAAAAAAGGATACTTTCAAATCTGCTTCACGCAAAAGCAGATAACACCATGAGGGTTTATTACATACTGCGTAGAGTCTGTAGCTGGGCCAAACCATTCAATACATTTGCTAATCTGGGCATGCCAAGGAAAGGCTGCTGTTTGACATGGCTGCTCCCAGCTCTGCAGGGAGGCATTGGAATGAGTTTGGTGTTAGATAAATGGTCTAAATGTTCATGTGGTTCTGCTTCAGAGAAGTATGCAGGTGTATTTACTAGAGAGAAACTGGGGGAGAAGGTGTCAGTGGAAAAAATCTGAGATAATGCATTGCTTTTTGCCAAAATACGTTTAATAAAGTCAGATCAACCTCTGGCTTCATAATCCCGACTCCTTTTCCTGCTCAGCTTTGCAACTTTATTTATAGCAGAACTATTTCCTGAGAATGAATATCTGAAATACCATTTGTTTATGAGGGGGGAAAAAAATCAAGCAGGGGTTTACAATACTGTAGCCAACAATGCTGAACAGTTTCATTCACCATGTCCAGATGTGAACAATTTCTCTATTGCAACAAATGGGATGAGGAAAACACTTTTTTCATTAAATCACGGATTATCATTCAGGGCGGCACTTCCATCTCTGAGACCGTGGGATGGATTTTGCTTTCCTTTACACCTCCGTGAAACCCTACTTCTATCAGTGGGAGGCCAGGATTTCAGGCTCGCTCCAAAATAAGGGCTCAGTCCTGCATGGCGTTGAGTGCTCAGGCCCCAGTTCAGCACAGAAGTTAAGCTTTATCTTTCAGCACCTTGCAGTCTGCAGGATTGCGCCCTGTGTGAGGTTGGTGTCTCAGTAGGGATCTCCTAGAGAGCCACCTTGATAAAAATCCCCAATCTATCACAGGGTGTCAGATTCATTTGGAGGGTTAAGTTTACATTGCTTTAATACACCTCTACCCCGACATAACACGAATTCGGATATAACGCAGTAAAGCAGCGCTCCAGGTGGGTGTGGGGGGGGACTGCACGCTCCAGCGGATCAAAGCATATTCGATATAACGCGGTTTCACCTATAACGCGGTAAGATTTTTTGGCTCCCGAGGACAGCGTTATATCGGGGTAGAGGTGTATATGCAAATATTCTTGCATGTGACACTGCCTGCCTGGAAAGCCGTGAAACTTTAAAGGTTTGGAATATGGTGCTGAAGTCACCTTTACACCACTGCACTAGCATGTCAAAAAGAGCTGGAACAGGACACTACCAGGCTTTTTCTGCTTTTGATAACTAATCAGCCCATACACCATACAAACCTCATCTGGATCTTTGTGGAATTCTACAACTATGGCAGTTTAACTTGTAGGAACACAAATCAAAGAGCTTCAACAGCTACGATTTGGCATACAAGTGCCATATATTGCTGCTGATCTGCCACAGCTCGTGGAGATCAGTGGAAGTTGCATGCATGCATTGAAGACACTGTATGGTTCATACAGCGTAGGAATAACTGTTTCTGGTCCAGCACAGTCAGCAGCATTGTATAAAATGAAACTACCTGGGAACCAGTTTTTTTGGTACTGTAATGAATTCCATCCCTCACTGAGACAATGGAGAAAAATTATGCTAGTACCATCACAGCCCTGAATTCTAACAGCTTTCTTACATGTAAGATGACATTCAACAATGCAAATATACACAGTGAAGCAATTACACGTTGATGAGAGATGTGCTCCACCGCCAAAGAGAACTTCAAGTATTTCTGACCACTGGGGTTTCTGGCATCCATCCCCTGCCTGCTCCTTTGCACATACATGGAAGCATTCAGGCATCAAACACTTGATTCTAATCTTCTGCAGGATGTAAGAATGTGTGTGTCTGAGAAAGAGACATTTGCTAATGTCTTTGAACAGTATGTGAAACCCTTTTCTGAAACTCTGAAGCACTATTACGACAAGCAGTGCTGCTATTATATAACAGAATGGGGGATACAGCAGCACGAATGTGTAGGTCAGGAAACTGCAAAGGACATTTCCTGAAAGCTGCGGTCTGAGAGAACATGACATTTAAACAAGCCAGGGCTAAATTGCTTAAACAGGTCTGGGTGAAGAGGATGAGGAGAAAAAGCCAATAGGTACCAATGGAGACTGTGTATCTGTGGGAGAGGGGAAAGATATTTCAAAGCCTTGTTTTATATAAGTATTTTCCCTGTTGCCCAAAAGCAAGTATAAACAGCAACAGAAATGGGATGGCATTAACACAACCAAACCATGAAGTTGCCTGCTAATGGTGTTCTCGCTGTCAGTGCTATTATTATTATGAGAGAGATGCTGGGTAAACCAATCATAAATCTGGATACTTGATCTGAATACTTGCATTAGCACTACAGGTAGAAGCTCTAGCCCATAGCTTCCAACATATGAAATCCCACCCCCAGAATACTTTTCCCACCTGACAGGCAGGGACATCCCTATCAGCTTCATCTTGAATATTAATAGAATCTTGCCTGTAATTCCCAGGAGACTGAAATCATGAAAATATATGCCTCTCACACATGATTTCATTGCAACTCCAAAGGAGAGCCCCCACACATTCATCCCCTTGCCACTGATGAACGTGAGGAAGACTTTCACACGCTTAGCCATTTGGCCAAGGTGCACAGAAACTTGGGGCTTATTCCTGCAACAGACACAAGGGCCAGATTCTATGCTGTGTCCACATTTGGCAGGGAGTAGCGAAGGAAGGGGATTCTCAGGAATTCAGTGTTGGCTGCCTGATGCTCTGCTTAGCCCTGGTTACTGGTTAGAATTGCCTAGGAAGGCTCTAACATAAGCCTGCTAGCAATGGAACCCAAGGGACCATCTGCATCCTGTGGCAGAGGGGTAAAAACGGAGCAGAGCCGAGAATGTGACCCATAGAAAACACATTTGGTGCAAGTATGACTGCTGGTTTCAAATGGGAGTAGTTGACATTCAGAATACAGCCCTGTCCTATTCAGAAGCAGCACCTCGTTCAATTCAGATGAAGAAACAGCTTTTGAACAGGTTATGGGCTCTACATCTTAAGTCAGCTAAGATGTCTCTTCATGCAAATACATTCAAATTACTAAGCAAATAATGTGGACTTGTATTTGCAAGGGGGGGTGGGGAAATTCCACCCTGAACTGCCTGGTCAAGTAATCAACCAAGTGCCCAGAGAGAGCCTTTGTGCTAAAAACAATTGGTATGGAGTCCCAGGTAAAAAGGCAGAATTTGTTTTCTTGCCTGTAATTTTGATCTCTGAATCTGGATCCACTGCTCTGGAGTATTTCTGAGTATTCGACAGAAATACTCAGAAGGGAGTCCCAGTTGCTTTTTGCCCCCCACCCCACCCCCACCCCAATGAACGTGAACACTCCCCCTGCTGGCATATTTGTTGAACGAAGTACATCCCCTTGAGAAAAATACTCCTGAAGTCAAGGAAGCACAGAACTAGAACTTTTTTTTTTTTAATTGCAGCCAAAGAAACAATCACTACTATTGTGTTGATGACATGTCAGCCCCAACTAACGTTCCCTTCGGCCCTAGCTTGAATGTTAAGACAACTTCATACTAACCCAAACATATACAGTGACCATAGAGAAGATTTGTCCAAAGCAGTGGAACTATATTAGGAGATATGAAAATTACAGGATTATAAGTTTTTTGTTTAATTACCCATTTGAACAATGGAAATAACACTTCTACACTGAATTGCAAGGGGAGCATTTTTGTTCACTGTATAAATAAAATAAGTAAGATACACTTTGAAATCTGCCCTTGACAGATCTGTCTCAACTGACTATCACATATTCTGATATTCAGTGCAGCATTTGTCTATAAGGCAGGTGGAAGATGTGAAATGGGGCAAATACGTGCTTCTCTTTGCTAACCTTGCCAATGACATGACTAGACATTTTCATAGGAACAAGGCCTATTCTAGACTGGCATCCAAACTAATATTGTGCATTCCATTCCTTCAGGGAGAGACTTCAAATAGGTCTGTTTTATCTTATCTCTAGAAGGCTGCAACCGTACCTGCAGCTGTGCATAAAAGAAACTACTGTGTCTGTACTTCATTGGAAATGGATGCACCCTGAGTCACACAGGCAGGAATCCACAAAAAAACAATAGACAGATTTTTTTTTTCAAGTGGTGAAGGGCATCTTGAGACTTAAAAACAAAAAACAAATCCCCCCGCCCCCGCGCTAATTTTCCTTGAAGATTTACAATGAAAGCATCAACCCTTGGGAATCTTGCTAATCTGTGGGTGAATGTTAACCAGTGACTGGCTAATTTCCTAAGGGGCTAGGGGTTCACAAGGGGACTGTGTGGCAAGGAGGGGGAATTATTTCTAGCTGCTGGGAGGCAGGATGGGTTGGGAGTCTCTTAGAGGGAAGAACTCTGCCTGCCCCTCTGCTAAGAACCCCTCTCCTCCCTTCCTTCTGCTGGGAGGCTTTCCCCTTCTCTACTGCCAGTTCCCATCTGCTTTTCTTAGACTGGAGGGTAGCAGAAGAGGGGCAGGCCGGGTTCGGAGCTCAGGCCACGATGTGGTACAAGGTGTTACCAAGGACTAGAACTGGTAGTGTTTGTTAATGAAGAGGTAGGACTGGAAGCAGAGTAGAGATAGGTTGGAAGCCGTCTGCCCACTGGAGGAAAGCCTTCTTCTGGTGGAGCTGAAAGGAGGAAATTAAACTAAGACCCAAGCCCACTCAGCTGAAGAAGCTGAAGGGAGGCATGGGTCCTTCTGGGCAGACTGGAAAGGGAAAGAAAAACTGTATTTATCTTCAGTACCTCTGTGTGAACTAATGCAGTCAGCCATCCTCAGTGCTCAAACACCTGAACATGTGAAATGCTGGTTAAGTGCATGGGAGTTTTTCCTCACCTCAGACAGCTGGTTGATCTTTTGCTGTTATGGTGGTTCGGTTTTCTTGTTGTTCTTTGAAACCAGGCTGTGTTTTTAGAATCTGCTTATGAGGCCAGTGCCTGGAAAAGGCACTTTTATATGTATAGGAATAGAAATGAATGTGTCGGTCCAGTGGCTGGCCCACATGGTGCGTAAGAGCTTGCTACTTAGCTGCAGCTAATAAACTTACTCCGTTAACTCAAGTAGTAGGGACGTGAGCTTTTGAGCCCAGGCACTTATCTCCTACTGAAAGCAATGAGAGTTAGACACGTAAATACCTTAGAGGATCTGGGCCTGGGTGCTAATGTACCCAAGGGATCAATCCCTGCTGACAACCCTAGTGACCATGATCCATTAAAAGAGCACCTAGGATTGGTGGTGGGGTTTTAAAATATCATCACCCATCTTTCCTTGGTCTAATGGAATCATGTTTCTTAATGAGCCCTAAGTAAACCTGAAGGGAGATAAGGCTCCAAAGCAATCAATATTCAATGTTAATTTCTCTATTTAAGGTTCTTTCTCATTTTGTATAAAGCACCACTGGACTGCCTGGTGATAACAGAAGACATGCAAGAGAACAGGGTCCCTGCCCAATGATTCTGTGGAATAGCTGGATAGCACAAAGGGAAAAGAAAAATAGACCGTGGTAGGAGAGGGGTGGAAACTGCAAAGGGGGGTGGGGGGGAGGGCTAATGTATGGTTTTGCCCAAACACAAGCAAAGACATCTTTCATTGAGATGCTCAATTGGTGCTTTTTTAAGTGAAATGTTCACCCAAACCTTCCAATGGGTTCTCAGAGGTAGGAGATGGTAAAGCAAAGCTTGTATGGCTAGAAACTAGAGACATAAATAACATCTTTCACTAAAGCTAGCTTCCTAGGCTTGCCTGGATATGGACTCTGGCACTAGCAGCCAGGGGTGCCACAGGAAAGCCTACTTCAGTAGTAATCCCATGGAATTTGCTGTTTGTTTCAAGGTGCAAATTCCCATGATTCCTCTGACTAAAATATCAGCAGCTGAGCCTTTTGAGGTTGGCCCATTGCCAGCTCAGCAATTCCTTCCTTTGAGTAGATGACGAGTTCATTCCACTCACCTGAGAGAAGCCCGCTGCTTCTTTTCAGAGCTTCTCAGTTCTTCACTGGCTTTGCTCTCAGCTCTGTGCCTAGAGCTCTGCAAATCTGCACCCCCAAAAAGGAAAGTTATTTCATATTATTGATATTATTCTGTCTGGCAAATGTGCAGCAGGGCATAGATATTCATTATTGGCTTGCTGTTTGCACCAATCCATAATACCTCATTATGGGTAAAACCTTCAAATATGACAAAATGACTTAGGAGCCTAAGTCCTATCCATTTTCAATGGTAACTGGGTGCCCAAATCACTTAGGTTCCTTGGGGAACATTTTCAAAAGTACCTACAGTCCCACTGAAAGTCAATGGGATTTAGGCTCCTCAGTCACTTAAGGTGCTTTTGAAAATTTTACTTTATTAGTTCAAATCAAGATCATACTCTGGGGCCTAGTGTACCCAAAGTTTTTGCACTGATATAACTGTTTTGGTGAAGAGTGTGGTTATATTGATACAGCCCCTAGCATGGAGAAGTTATACTACTAGAAAGGTGTCTTATACTGATATAGCTTATTCCCCTTCCTGTATGCGAATAGCTATATTGGTAGAAGTATCTTTATCCTGGTATAACTGCCACTGCACTACGCTGGTATAGTTAAAGCAGTGCAACTTTTGTGTTGGCAAGCCCTGGTAATTCTTTAATGTGCAAGACAGTTCGAGTAACACATTATAGGCAGAATCTATTGCCCTCAGAGGGCTAAGAGAGTCACCCTTGTGCATCTGATGACAGTATTTGTCCAATATTTGTACTTAAACTGATCAATATACATCAGCCACGACTGTATAATTAGCAAGTATTTATTGATTAACTGGAAGGGCTAAACAGATTCTACATATTGTATAGCATGCATTAAAGGTGCAGTGATGTAGTTCTCTCTTTTCTCCAGTTGGCTTCCTAAGGCCTGGATTAAACTTGGGGCACGTTTTCACTACTCGCCGGATCGGCGGGTAGTGATCGATCTATCGGGGATCGATTTATCGCGTCTAGTGTAGACGTGATAAAATTGATCCCCGATGGCTCTGCCGTCGACTCCGGAAATCCACTGCGACAAGAGGCGGAAGCGGAGTCGACGGGGGAGCGGCAGCGGCCGACTCGCCGCCGTCCTCACAGCCAGGTAAGTCGACCTAAAATACGCAACTTCAGCTACGCTATTCACGTAGCTGAAGTTGCGTATCTTAGGTCGACCCCCTCCCCCCTCCCCAGTAGTGTAGACCTAGCCTTGAAAGCTTTGCAGGTATAACTATTTTGGTTGGGGTGTGATTTTTTAAAAACCAACATATTTATATCAGCCAAAGCATAGTGTGGATGCAATTATACTGATATAAAGCTGCTTTATACTGGTATAGTTATTCCTCTTCCCATACAGGAATAGATATATTGGTATAAAGCACCTGTATACCGATAAAACTGTGTCCACACTACGAGGATTGTACCACTTTAACTATATTGGTATAGTTAAAGTGGTACAACTTTCTAGTGTAGACAAAACCTTCATGTAGCTTGTAGTCTGTAACTACTGTGAATCAGAAATTATCAAACCAAATGAAACAATGAATTTCAAACACAGACTCCTAAGTTAGAACATCCATAGCTGAGGCCTCCAATGGGCAGTTAGAAATTACAACATGCCCAGAATCAGTTGTTCTGATTCAAGTGTCCCTATAACTGGTTTTTCTACTAGGAAATGTGAACTGAAATCTTTGAGGGGAAATGTTTTGGCAATAATTCATAGGGCATATGGCATGTGCTTACCAGCAGGGTTTAGTAAGATACTCTTTTTCTTCTGACTTCCATCAGGTGCCACAGTAAGCTTCACTCGCAGAGTTTTACTGGAACTAGGGGAGTGGTTTACTGATGCATCAACTACCTCATAGATGGTATGAAGCAAACTTGTAATGTCCTACAATTGGGATTGAAACACAACCAGAAAAATAATATTGTAAAAACGGGTAAAGAACCAATTCCTTTGGTACTGACGAATTTAACCATTCTGGACCAATCAGGTGCCAAGGCACCCTCAAATCTCACTGAATTCAAAAGGGAGTTAAGGGTGCTCAGCGCCTTGAAGAAGTACCAAGCTTCATCGAATCAAGTCTTCTGTTTCTCAAATGGACATATCCTTAGCCACGTTTCCCTGCTGGATTTACAGATAAATACAGCCTATCTCAGGACATCAAGTGAAAGCTATAAAAGAAGTGTTTCAAGTATATGACCCTCTTCTTCCATATTCCTTACATTCAAATGGCATACATGTTATAAAATGGGACAGAATAGACCAAAACACCCTTAGAAAAAACACATAGTTTATTCACATTTTCCAAACACACACCACAAGCTGTTTAACTAGCAGTTTCCCCTACCAGTTTCTCTCTATTGTCATAAATACAGCTAAGGTATAAAATATTATTTATATAGCAATGGAAAACAGAGTTTGCATGACCAAAACAAGTATTTCCTTATTTTTTTTCAATAAAGCAGACCCATATCCCCAATTTCCACAGCACATGATAGATAACCAATCCTGGCCTCAGGACGATGGTTGCTTCCTGTGATTCCCTTTTGATATCTAGAGGGCAGAGATATCTAGAGATTCCATAGAACACATTATTGGTGAGTTTTAGAGATCTAGAATCAGATTGATCTACATTTCTCAAAACAATGAGGGTGTTTTCGGTCAACCCACTACAGAGATAGACCTGCGTCACAACATTTAGAATTGGATTTGAATTTACCCAAAGTTCAGAATAGCTGAGATCTGGTGTTCAGATTCAGGCCTATCTGAATATATTGCTCTCTTTAGGTTACCATCACCATTACGCAGGTCTCATAATAGGTGGGATAAAAAACAATGTTTCATAATTCAATTAAGGCAGCGTAAGAAATTGCAAGGGTAGGGGCAATTCAGAATTCCTCTCCATAGCTCCAGTTCAGGCAAGCATTTATTTAAGTAGGAGATTAAGTCCATCCGTATTCAGCAAAACACGTACGTTGGTGCTTTACAGTAAGTGCCATTGACGTAAACAGGACTTAAGCACATGCTTAAGTGCTTTACTGAACAGAGGCCGATCAGAAGCAGCACTACCAAATTCAAATCATCCATTTGTCTCATGCAGGAGGACTAGTGAATCCCCATTCTTCTTACTTGATGTCTGGCTGGAACATAGCCCCTTTTGCATTTGGTGTTGCAACTCAGCTCAAATTTATCCAAACCAGTCAGCCTTCATTAACCTTCCACAAATGTCCTTACTCCATACTACCTAGCTACTGCCAAGCTGAGTAAGAGATCTACTACTTTGCTCATTACTTGAGATGGAGACAATTCTCTGAGTGAACTAACCCACATTTATTATTTATTTATATCAGTACCAGCCAGTCCTGTCATGGACACCATTCTAGGATCAAAGTGTATCAAGCCCAGCAGGCTTTAAAGGTCCCACTGAATACACGTCTAATAAATTATCTACCAGTCTCTCTAACCCGAGACCTATCCCAGAACTACGCCTTTTCCAGGCGCCTTTGTTAAATATAACAAAACTGGTTCTGAAGAAGATGGAGACTTAGTTCTTGCATTCAATAAAATCTTAAATCCTATAGGATTCACTTAGGGTTCAAACCCTTAGAAATGTAGCCTCAAAGTACGCCCAGGGGAGCACTAGCAGACACATCAGTTTAACCTGATGTAGTATACATGCCTCTTTATCTAGCCAGCGTTAAAAGAGACAGTCAAATACTAATCTCCTGCACACTCTGAATATTTTGCAGTTAACAGACATATTCCTTTCAGTGTAACATCCAGGGAAACTTTGAAACTATGGTTAAGGGAAATGATTTACAGTAGCTGAGGCTCTACCTCTTCTAGCCTGAAAGGTCTAATGTAGAAGATCCAAATTCTGCCCTGATTTACCACCTCTGCAACTTTACAAAAGTCAGTGGAATTACTCCAGATTTAGGGTCTGCTCCTGCTCCCACTGACTTCAACGCTTAGGATCAAGCCCTTACATTGGTAGAAATAAGAGCGGAATTTGGCAGCTTGTCCATTCCTTCCACAGAAATCTCTCTTATTTCCTCCGCAAAGGTATAAGGGTTGTCATAAGCTGTGTTGGTGGCTTGTTTCCATCCTTTTGACAAGAACCGATGCCTGAAAGCCTGCATCAGGGAATGACTGACTGACTGATAAACTCACCCACCCTCTCCTCTCACACTTTCATCATGTCTTGAAACTTACCCAAACCTACTGGAAAGTCTCTTAACAGAAAGAGCAGCATCTGACAGAAGGCTTCACAGGCTGAAGTTTTTATTGCAGCTGACAAAAAAAAAAAAACAACAACAACAAGACAGCCATCACTGGAATACTCCCTTCCTAAACTAACTTCTGGAAGGCCTCATACTATGCACACAGATCCTGATTGACCAAGCCATCTCTATTTAACAAAGTTCTTAAGTACATCCTTAATTTTAATGGGATTTAAGCACATATTTAAGTGTTTTGCTGAACAGAGACCTTATTGTTTCATTCCCCAACAAGTATTCTGCCACTACGCTCTTCCTTCCTTGGATACGGATAACCAGCACAGGTAACTTTTCGTGTACTGCCAATTTTAATTTGGTGAACGCGCACACATTTGTCCCCAACAACCTAATCCCCCTTTTTTGTTCCAATATCCTATATGCTTGTACCATTTGCTTGTTAACCCCTCTCATTTTACTCTGGAACATGCAAAGACAGAAGTTCTGTACTTTCATTGGCTTTTTAAATGATTTTTTTTTCTGTTGGTGAGGGCTGCCTAACCCCCACACAACCGAAACGTGGTCCCTATTTTTCCTCTTCCACTGTCTTGGTCTTTCCCAACAAACCCCTTGCTCAACATTTTAGGAAGTACTTCCAGGCCTTGTCAAGGCAGGCCAGCTGTAATACAGGCACAACATGTACTCTCTGAGCCAGCAATATATCTGCACCCATATCAGGTCAGAAAATTTTGCAACTCTCAACCAAATGGGTTTGAATTATCCCAAATTACTTCAGTCTATCCAGCCACCAGGCATTTTAACATACTGCACAAAAGTCCCATTAAAATTGTGCTTTTCTATTGTGTTGCTGCCTTTAGTATTTTGTCAAGTTCCCCAAGTTTCAATATCTAATTCCCTCCATGAGGATAAGAACTTCTTTGCAATCGGGAGCTCAATGAAAACACCCTTCAGACGGGCATGAACCAGTCAATCAAGATTAGAAGTACCCTTATGTAACCTAATCCACTTCCTTGCACTCTTAACCCCGGTCTCTTAGATATCACCACCAACATTTTTATTAAGGGATTCATTTACTCATGCTCCTTATTTGGGGTCTTGTAATTCTTGTACATTGACAGCTCTCCTATGGGCAAACCAGCCCACTCAACTACCGACTTTATTGCCCTGGCAAGTTTCTGGTTGAGCTGCCTCTAGCAAACAGACCTCTCTGCCTCCTGATTGCTTGATAGTACCTCCTTCACAAAAAGGAGATCCTCAGAATCATTCAAATTCCTGAGGTGACCTTGTGGGACTGAAGACTCAGAATGAGTTGTCAGCAGGACATCAGCCTTGAACTATGACTGAAGCTGTTTCCCCACGGCCCTGTCTCTAGGGTAGCTATTGTGGGGCTCACTTCTCTCCCAAATTATTGGCACTAGGCCCATCACGATATATGCTACAAAGCCTGTACAGGTCTTCCAAACATGCCTTACATTTTTCTCCAAGGAGAATTTTCATCTTCATGTAAAGGCCATGATAACCGGGCAATTTATGCTCACTCATGCAGCCTGTTCTGCTGATTGTTATCGGACTTTAAATCCCTTGAATAGCTATCTACAGATGTTGACACAGCTTTACATTCCACGCACAGCGAAATTGTCCCCTCCTGAAGAAACTTGTCAAGAACCAAGGATAATAGTATGGTACAACCAGTTAACTTCTTCCCTCTTCTGGCGCACAATCAAAAATGCTCAAGAAACCTCACAGCCCCATAGAACTCTGCAGGTCCAATTACCAAAAAAAATTGAATTCCCTGCCATACAAACCACAATTTTAGAAACTGCCTGAGGCAGGGAAAATAATATCCCTTGAGCTGGTCAAAGTTTTTTGCATGAAAAGTTTTTCTATCCAAAAATGGCATTTCCCCATGCCCCCAATAAAACAAACGTTTTGTGAAAAATTGCCATTATAAAAAAATTTCATTTTTGCAAAATTGTACATTTTTTTTACCAAAATACTTACTGAAATGGTTTCCAAATATGAAAACAATTATATTAATTTTCATTAAAAAATATGGTGTAAAAATTCACAAAAAAACCCAGTTCATTTTGACTGCTATGAAAAGGAAAAAACGTGAAAATTTTTCACAAAGTTGTTTCCTCATTTTTCAACCAGCTTTCATTATGCCAGCAAAGATAAAGAATTTGGAGGTTGGGCTGTGTCAATATAAATTATTTTCAGATGGCTTTCTGTTTACGTGTTGAGATCCCTACTGAAATTACGTACTGAGATTGCTACTATGATGTAAGGAAAATTAGGCTATAAAATTCCTTCTTATAAGAGAAAAACGAATGCCTTTTTAAACTGTTTTAAGAGTTGGTATATGCCATACCCAGAATATGCTTGTGTCTCACTACAGCTGGGTTTCCAAGGTGAGAACGTATTAACTGCTGTGTACTTTTCACCTCATTATATTTTATGGACAAGGCAGCTTGATTACAAAAGTATGTTTACAAGAGTAATGGTTAACAGGATTTTCAGAAAGTATTTGCTTTGGAATTATTACAATGTGTATAGTTAATATAGCTCTATCATACATGGTGCCGTCAAACATTTTTCACACACAATTAATGACTCGCTGATAAGATACTGGCTGGTAGTAGTTGAGAACAT